AAAGAACTTGGCGGGGCGCGGTGGCTCATGTCTGTAATCCCAACACTTTGGGAGGCTGAGGCGGGTGCATCACCTGAGGTCAGGAGTTTGAGACCAGCCTGAAGAGAATGAAAAGACAAGCCACTGACTGAGAAAATATTTGCAAAAGATATATCTGATAAAGAACAAAATATACAAAGAACTCTGAAAACCCAGCAATAAGAAAATAACTCAATTAAAAAATTGGCCAAACTCCTTAATATACAAAGAAAACATACAGATGTCAAAAAAGCATATGAAAAATTGTTTCACATCATATGTCATCAGGGAAGTGCAAATTAAGACAATGAGATACCACACAAATATGAAATGGCCCCAATCCAGAACACTGACAACATCAAAGGTGGCAAGGATGTGGAGCAACAGGAACTCGCATTCATTGCTAGTGAGAATGCAAAATGGTATAGCCACTTTGGAAGACAGTTTGGCCGTTTTTTTAAAAACTAAACATACTCTTACATAAGATCCAGCAGTTGTGCTCCATAGTATTTACCCACAGGACTTGAAAGCTTACACCCACACAAAAGCCTGCACATGGATGTTTAGAGCAGCTTTATTCATAATTGCCCACCTTTGGAAGCAACCAAGATGTTGCTCAGTAGATGAATGGATAAATAAACTGTGGTACATCCAGACAATGGAATATTATTCAGCACTAAAAAGCAATGAGCTATGAAGCCATAACAAGACATGGAGGAAACATAAATGCATATCACTAAGTGAAAGAAGCCAATCTGAAAAGGCTACATATGGTGTGATTCCACCTATATGACATTCTGGAAAAGGCAAAACTATGGAGACTATAAAAAGATCAGTGGTTGCCAGGGCTTGAGGGGAGGGAGGGATAAATAGGGAGAACACAGGATTTTTAGGGCAGTGAAACCACTCTGTGATACTATAATAATGGATACATGTCATTGCACATTCGTCAAAACCCTTGAATGTACAACACCAAGAGTGAGGTCTAATGTAACATATGGACTTTGAGTGATAATGATGTGTCAGTGTAGGTTCATCAGTTGTAACAACTGTACATTTTTAGTGTGGGATGATGATAATGGAGGTTATGCATGTGTGGGAGCAAAGGGTATATGGAAATCTTTTTCCTTGCAATTTTGCTATGACCCTAAATCTGTTCTAAATAAAGTCATGTATATGTATATGTACGTGTAGATATATATGTATATGTAGTCACACCAAGAGCCTAGTAAGTAGGGTTGGCTTTTTTCACATTATTTCAGTTTTCTGATGTTGATGGTGTTTGGTGCAACATAACTGAATTATATATCCACACTAATATCATCCTGCCACATTCAAGCTCTTATAAGATTTGAGTGCCTGGCCGGGTGCGGTGTCTCACGTCTATAATCTCAGCACTTTGGGAGGCCAAGGCAGGTGGATCACTTGAGGTCTGGAGTTTGAGACCAGCCTGACCAACATGGAGAAGCCCCATCTCTACTAAAAATACAAAATTAGTCGGGCATGGTGGTGCATGCCTGTAATCCCAGCTACTCGGGAGGCTGAGGCAGGAGAATCACTTGAACCTGGGAGGCGTAGGTTGCAGTGAGCCAAGATCGTGCCATTGCACTCCAGCCTGGGCAACAAAAGCCAAACTCAGTCTCAAAAAAAAAAAAAAAAAAAAAAAAAAGGTTTGAGTGCCTAATCAGCATGGATTGAAACATTAATTAGTGAGAATCAGGTATTTTTACCAGCATCTTGTCTAGATTCTCTAAGCCTTAAAAATGAAGACCTGGACAGGCATATTGGCTCACACCTATAATCTCAGCACTTAGGGAAGCTGTGGTGGGAGGGTCGCTTGAGCCCAAGAGTTTGAGACCAGTCCTGGCAACATAGTGAGATCTCAACTCTACAGTAATTTTTAAAAATAGCTAGGTGTGGTTGCACATGCCTGTAGTCTCAAGTAGTCAGAAGGCTGAGGCAGGAAGATGGCTTGAGCCTGGGAGGTTGAAGTACAGTGAGCTATGGTTGCACCACTGCATTCCAGCCTGGGTGACAAAGACCCTGTCTCCAAAAAAAAAAAAAAAACTGAGAAGCATATGTTGGAATTAGAAATATATATATACCATTAGACCCAAGGAAAATGGAAGCAAGTTTAGTAATACACAGGAAAACAGTCTCCTACATAAAGCAACTGACTAATCAAGACTATGAAAAAAAAGCCCCCTTTCAACTATGTTAAATAGCAAAGAATGGTAAATGCCAAGTATAGTAGGACAAATATATATGTTACAGGTAACCAATATTCCTTTCCAGAATAATGCTAAGAGTTTTTCCATGAGCACTTCATTATGGAAATCTTACATGGATTGCTGAGTATAGATAAATAAATGACTGCTTTAAGAGTTTTTTTCCCCTTTTCAGTTTTCTTTTTTTTTTTGCCTCCTGTTTATATCTGTGTATGTGTGAGAGAGAGAGAGAGAGAAGCATAAAGCAAATATGTACATTTTAAAAACAGAAAGCAAACATCCATGTAATTGTCATCAAAATCAGGAAATAGGACATTGCTGGCCCCCAAGAATGCCCCGTTTAAGTTGTGTTTCTGTGCTTCTATAAGACACAAGAATGACCCAAGAATGCCCTTGTTTCCTTGGTGTTTGTGATGTCAAGTGAGCACTCAACAAGCACAGGTGCATCAGGAAAATGCATATATTTCACCACAAAATTTGTATTTACTTGTTATCATCACTCTATCCACAAAAAGCTGCTTCTGCAATCAAAGTTGTATACTAATATGGGAAAGACACCTGCGGAGCGAAATATAGTAGTGAACTTCCATGTGCCAGGTAGTGCTAGGAGGTAGATGCCTTTTCAACAAAAGCTGTATTGTTTCTTAAAATCTGATGTAAAAATAATAGGGGGTGGAGGGGATTATTCACTTCAGGTCCTAGGATTTTATAATATAACTCCTCCCCTCCTCCCTGCCAGCTCTGGAGGTCTGGGTGATCTCCTCCTGGCTTCTCATTCTCCTTCTTTCTCTCCCTCCTTTCCTTCACATACCTCCTTTTTTTTTTTTTTTCTTTTTTAGACTGAGTCTTGCTCTGTTGCCCAGGCTGGAGTCCAGTGACACGATCTTGGCTCACTGCAACCCCCGCCTCCTGGGTTCAAGTGATTTTCGTGCCTCAGCTTCCCGAGTAGCTGGGGTTACAGGCACCCACCACCACCCCTGGCTAATTGTTGTATTTTTAGTAGAGACAGGGTTTTGCCATGTTGGTCAGGCTGGTCTTGAACTTCTGACCTCAAGCAATCCACCTGCCTCGGCCTCCCAAAGTGTTGGGATTACAGGCATTAAGCCACTGCACCCGACCTCTCCTGTCTATTTTAACCAGTTCCTGATATTCTTGTATCATACCTTTGGGCTAATGTCCCTAGACCCAGGGGCAATGGAGCCACCCAGGTTGTTTGCAACAATTTCCTGATGGAAATAGTGTTAGATGTGAGGCCCCTCTTTCTTGGAAGACCCTTGCTTGAGCTCCTTGAGGAAGTCCCGCCCTTCTTAAAAGCCTCCCTCAAATATCATCATGTTTGTCATCTTGAGGTCACCTAGTTGGATTTAATCTCTTTCTACTCCCATATCTTCTATCTGTCTTTTAGCACTGATGACAGTGGTTTGTGTTAGGATTGTATCTGTAGGTGCCTGTCACTACTGCTGGTCAGGGACCGTAGCTCTCTTAACCACTGTATTCCCTACTACTAGTGCTGCGCTTTACCCCAGAGCAGGCTCACTAAATGGCTGAATTGATTTGTTGAATCTAGAATATTTAAAATGTGATCACTGCTGGACATAGTGGCTCACATCTGTAATCCCAGCACTTTGGGAGGCCAAAGTGGGTGGATTGCTTGAGCTCAGGCGTTTGAGACCAGCCTGGGCAACATAGCGAGACTTTATCTCTATTAAAACCAAGAAAATTAGCCAGGTATGGTGGTACGCATCTGTGGTCCCAGCTATTTGGGAGGCTGAGGTGGGGGGATCACTTGAGCCTGGGACGTCGAGGCTTCAGTGAGCTGTGATCACGCCATTGCACTCCACTCTGGGCAACAGAGCGAGACTTTGTCTCTAAATAAATAAATAAAAATAAGATGTGATCAGGCCAGGTACAGTGGCTCACATCTGTAATCCCAGCACTTTGGGAGGCTGAGGCAGGAGGATTGCTTGAGCCCAGGAGTTCAAGACCAGCCTGGGCAACATGGTGAGATCCTGTCTCTATAAAAAATAAAGAAGTAGCTGGGTGCAGTGACACACACCTGTAGTCTCAGCTACTTGGGATGTGGAGGTGGGAGGATCACTTGAGTCCAGGAGTTTGAGGCTGCAGTGAATTATGTTCATGCCATTGCACTCCAGCCTGTATAACAGAGAACCTACCTCAAAAAAAGAAAAAAAAAAATGTGGCTGGGCGCCATGGTTCATGCCTGTAATCCCAGCACTTTGGGAGGCTGAGGCAGGTGGATCACTCAAGGCCAGGAGTTCAAGACCAGCCTGGCCAACATGGTGAAAGCCCATCTCTACTAAAAATATAAAAATTAGCTGGGCGTGGTGGTACGTACCTGTAATCCCAGCTACTCGGGAGGATGAGGCAGAGAATTGCTTGAACCGGGACGGCAGAGGCTGCAGTGAGCCGAAATCATGCCACTGCACTCCAGCCTGGGTGACAGAGTGAGACTCTATCTCAAAAAAATAAAAAGAAAAAAATGTGATCAATTTGACATTTTCCTATGCAGCATCTCAGGCATGTTATCTATAAAATTCACCATGAAGACCGAATATATGTTAAATGTTTTGAAGCTCCACCTTTGGAAATGTACCTTTTCCTCTTCCACTATTAAAGTAAAGAAGGAATTATTCAATGTTGTATGGTCATAAAATAAAAAATTATGAATGACAGATAGTGAAGTGAGTTTACAACCTCTATTAATCTATTGGTGTCCTTGTCCATTCTGTGCAGTCACTTCAGCTTTCTCCGGGACAATACAATGTGCTTCCTGCACCGGTTCCCAAATATGCTTCCAGGTAATTATATACTTACTAAATAGGCCGCCTTTCTGTTTACATACCTACATGCCAATCCTCATGGCTTTTAAACCTCATTTATGCACCTCATATGCAGATTAACATTTTAAAATATTCAATGAAAGGGAATAAGTTAACAAAGATCTTTAAAAAATAGATTTAGAAAATCATTTTTCTTTTTTTTTTTTAATATAGGAGCTGTGTATTTCGCTCAACAGTTCAAAGATTCCCAACAACTTATTTTATTCCTGTAAGTATAATGTAGACAGTTAACTCATGATGAATTTGATGTTTAAAATATGCTGTGCTTTCTGGAGTGGAGCAAGATGGCCAAATAGAACCCTCCTGTGAGCGTTCCCCCTAGCAGGAACACTAAACTGAACAATTATTCACACAGGAAAACACCTCTATAAGAACCAAACAGCAGGTGTGGGATCGCAATACCAGGTTTTAACTTTGTGTCAAGGAAAGAGGCACTGAAGAGGGTAGGGTAGAAAAGACAGTCTTGAATTGCCAACACCACCCTCCCCCATCCCCTGGCAGCAGCCATGTGGCATGAAGAGAGAATCTGCCCTTGGGGAAAAGGGAATGCTGTGATGGTGGGACTTTGCACAGGAACACAGTGCTGGCTGTCACAGGGAAAGCAACACAGGACAGAATTCAGTTGGTGCCCATGGAGGGAGCATTTAGACCAGCCCTAGCCCATCCCAGCCGTTTGATACTGAGTTCCAGCTCTCTCTACCACTGTGGGCTGAAGTGCTCTGAGGTCCTAAATAAGCTTGAAAGGCAGTCTAGGCCACAAGGACTGCAATTCCTGGGCAAGTTCTGGTGCTGTGCTGGGCTCAGAGGCAGTGGACTTCGGGTACATAAGACCTAGTGAGACACCAGCTGGGGCAGCCAAGGGAGTGCTTGTAGCAGCCATCCCCCAGCCCCAGGCAGCACAGCTTGCAGCTTCAAGAGAGACGCCTTCCTTTCGCTTGAGAGGAGGAGAGGGGAGAGTAAAGAGGACTTGTCTTGCAATCTGGATGCCAGCTCAGCCACAGCAGAACAGGGCACCTCAGGCAGAGTCCCGAGGCCCCCATTCCAGGCCCTAGCTCTCAGACATTTCTAGACACATCTCTGGCCAGAAGAGAATCCACTGCCTTAAAGAGAAGGACCCAGTTCTGGCAAGATTCATAACTTACTGACTAAAGAGCCCTTGGGCTTTGAATAAACACCAGCAGTGGCCAGACAACACTCACTGCAGGCCTTAGCCAGACAGTGCTGTGCTGCTTCAGGTGTGACCCAGCACATTCCCAGCTACAGTGGTCACAGGGAGAGACTACTGCTTGAGGAAAGGAGAGGGATGAGCAAAGGGGATTTTGTCTTGCTGCTTGGGTACCAGTTCAGCCACAGTGAAGTAGAGCACCAAGCAGGCTCCTGGGGTTCCCAATTCCAGGCCTTGGCTCCTGGATGGCATTTCTGGACTCCCACTGGGCCAGGGGGGAGCCCATTGCCCTGAAGGGAGAGACCTAGGCCTGGCAGCATTCCCCACAAGCTGACTGAAGAGCCTTGAGTGAACATTAGTGGTATCCAGCCAGTACTTGCTACAGGCCTGGGTGGTTGTGTCCATAGAGAGACTCCTGCTTGAGGAGAGGGGAGGGAAGAGTGGGAAGAACTTTGTCTTCTGGCTTGGGTGCCAGCTCAGCTGCAGTAGAATAGAGTACCAAACAAATTCCTAAGTTTCCTGACTCCAGGGCCTGGCTCCCAGATGGCATTTCTGGTCTGCACTGGGCCCAGGGGGCAGCATGCTGCCTTGAAGGGAAGAGCTTTTGTTTGGGCCTTGAGTGAACATGGGCAGTAGCTAGGCAGTAGTTACTGCAGGCCTTGGGTGAGACCCAGTACCATGCTGGCTTTGGCTCTGACCCAGCGCAGTCCCAGGGATATTAGCCATAGAGGTGCTTGTGTCATCCCTCCCTCAGCTTTAGCCATCTGTACAAAGATAGACTTCGTTTGTTTGGGGGAAGGGAAGGGAAGAGAACCAGAGTCTCTGCCTGGTAATCCAGAGAACTCTCTCAGATCTTATCCAAGACAACCAAGGCAGTACCTCTACAAGTCTACCAGAATCACAGCAATTACTAGGCTTGGGGTGCCCTCTAATGCAGATGCAGCTACAGTGACCAAAGACAGATTACAGTGCTTAATTCCCTTTGAATACTTGGAAAGCCTTCCCAAGAAGGACAGGTACAAACAAGACCAGCTGCGAAGACTACAATAAACACCTAACTCTACAATGCCCAGACATTGGCAAGCATACAAGTATCAAGACCATCTAGTGAAACACAACCTCACCAGTTGAACTAAATAAAGCACCAGTGACCAATCCCAGAGTGACAGAGATATGTGACCTTTCAGACAGAGACCTCAAAATAGCTGTTTTGACAAAGTGCAACAAAATTTAAGATGACACAGAGAAAGAATTCAGAATTCTATCAGATAAATTTAGCAAACAAATCAAAATAATTTTAAAAAATCAAGCAGATACTCTGGAGCTGAAAAATTCAATTGACATACTGAAGAATACATCAAAGTCTCCCAATAGCAGAACTGATCACACAGAAGAAAAAATTTGTGAGCTTGGATGGGGTACAGTGGCTCATGTCTGTAATTCCAGCACTTTGGGAGGCTGAGGCGGCAGATGTCTTGAGGCCAGGACTTCAAGACCAGTCTGGCCAACATGGCAAAACTCGTCTCTACTAAAAATACAAAAATTATCTGGGTGTGGTGGTGCACACCTGTAATCCCAGCTACTTGAGAGGCTGAGGTATGAGAATCGCTTGAATCTGGGAGGTGGAGGTTGCAGTGAGCCAAGATTGTGCCACTGCACTCCAGCCTGGGCGACAGAGTGAGACTCTGTCTCAAAAAAACAAAACAAAACAAAACAAAAAGAATTAGTGAGCTTGAAGACAAGCTATTTGAAAACACAGTCAGAGGAGACAAAGGAAAAAAGAATGAAGAATGAAGAATGCTTACAGAATCTATAAAATAGCCTCAAAAGGGCAAATCTAAGAGTTACTGGCCTTAAAGAGAGAGATTGAAGTAGAAAGTTTATTCAAAGGGATAATAACAGGGACCATTCCAAACCTAGAGAAAGATAGAAATATTGAAGTACAAGAAGGTTATAGAACACTAAGCATATTTAACCCAAATAAGACCACCTCAAGACATTTAATAAACTCCCGAAAGTCAAGGACAAAGAAAGAATCCTAAAGCACAAGAGGAAAGAAGAAAATAACATAGAATGGAGCACCTATACATCTGGCAGCGGACTTCTCAGTGGAAACCTTACAGCCCAGGAGTGAGTGACATGACATATTTAAAGTGCCGAAAGAAAAAAACATCCTGGAATAGTATAGTCAGTAAAAAATCCTTAAAATGTGAAGGATACTTTCCCAGACAACCAAAGCTAAGGCATTTCAACACCAGACCTGTCCTACAAGAAACGCTAAAGGGAGTTCTTCAAATTCTGAAAGGAAAGGACATTAATGAGCAACAAGAAATAATCTGAGGCCAGGTGCAGTGGCTCATGCCTGCAATATCAGCACTTTGGGAGACTGAGGCAGGAGGATTGCTTGAGTCCAGGAGTTCAAGACCAGCCTAGGCAACATAGAGAGACTCCATCTCTACAAAAAATTTTAAAAATTAGCTGGGCATGATGACATGCACCTGTGGTCCCAGCTACTCAGGTAGGCTGAGGTGGGAAGATCACTTGAGCCGAGGAGGTTGAGGCTGCAGCGAGCCATGTGTGTGCCACTGCAGCCCAGCCTGGGCAGCAGAACAAGACCATGTCTGAAGAAGAAAAAGGAGAAGGAGAGAAAGAAGAAAGAAGAAGAAGAAGAGGAAGAAGAAGAGGAGGAGGAAGAAGAGGAAGGAAAGAAAGAAGAAAGAAACCTAAAACTTTACACGGAACCACAAAAGACCCAGAATAGCCAAAATCATCCTGAGCAAAATGAACAAAACTGAAAGAATCATATTACCTGACTTCAAATTATACTGCAGAGCTATTGTAGCAAAAACAGTATGGTAGCATAAAAACAGACACATAGACCAATGGAACAGAATAGAGAACGCAGAAATAAATCCATATATCTACAGTGAATTCATTTTTGACACAGGTGCCAAGAATACACATTGGGGAAAGGACAGTCTCTTCAATAAATGGTGCAGGGAAATGTGGATATCCATATGAAGAAGAATGAAACTAGAACCCTATCTCTTGCCATTTTACAAAAATCAAATCAAAATGGATTAAAGACTTAAATCTGGCTGGGTGTGGTGGCTCATGCATGTAATCCTAGCACTTTGGGAGGCAAAGGCAGGAGGATCCCTTGAGCCCAGGAATTCGAGACCAGCCTGGGCAACATAGGAGACCCTGTCTCTAGTTTAAAAAAACAAAAACATAACATAAATCTAAGACCTCAAACTATGAAACTATCAAAACAAAACATTGAGGAAACTCCAGGACATTGGTCTGGGCAAAGATTTCTTGAGTTACACCCCACAAGCACAGGCAACCAAAGCAAAAATGGATAAATGGGATCACATCAAGTTAAAAAGTTTCTGCACAACCAAGGAAACAGTCAACAAAGTGAAGAGATGACCCACATAATGGGGGACAATATTTGCAAACTATCCATCTGACAAAGGATTAATAACCAGAATATATAAAGAGCTCAAAAAACTCAATAGGAAAAAGGTCTTTTTATTTGAGACAAGGTCTTGCTTTTTCACCCAGGCTGAAGTGTGGTGATGCAAACACAGCTCACTGCAGCCTCGACCTCCCTGGAGCAAGCAATCCTTCCCCTCAGTCCCCCAAGTAGCTGGGATTACAGGTGCATGCCACCGCACCCAGCAAATTTTTGTATTTTTTGTAGAAATGGGTTCTTGCCATGTTGCCCAGGCTGGTCTTGAACTCCTGAGCTCAAGCGATCTGCCCACCTTGGCCTCCCAAAGTGGTGGAATTACAGGCATAAGCCACTGTGCCCAACCTTAATAGGAAAAAATCTGATAATCTGTTTTAAAAAATAGGCAAAAGATCTGAATAGACATTTCTCAAAAGAAGACATACAAGTGACCAACAGGTGTATAAAATGGTGCTCAACATCGTTAATCATCAGAGAAATGCAAATCAAAACTACAATGAGATATCATTGCATCCCAGTTTAAATGGCTTATATCCAAATTACAGGCAATAGTGAATGCTGGCGAGGA